TTACCTTTATTAGATCCGAGATTTTATACCGTGTTACTCTCGAACAAAACCGTTCCCGGGACCGAAGTATCTTATTCTGAAATTTTAATTGACGTTAAATTAAACAAACAATTTCTTTTAACACCTGTCGTTTCTTATGACAGGGTAATAAAAACGCATGTTATTATATTTCAACTCCTCAACCGGAAGATAATAAGGGGATTGGAAATGATACAATTTCATGGAAATGTTCAGCTGGGTATATATATATATATTTGAAACATACGTTTCATTATGCGAATTCCTTGTAAATTTATCAATTAATCTTTTCTCAATTTATTTATCCTTTCAGAAATTTCTGCTTGGGTCCGGGAAAACCGTAAGCTGTGTTTCCTTTAGATTATTTACAAAGTTGATTTCAAGTTGACGTTTCTTATATAATTCATATCCATTAAATATAGGGTGAAATGCACTGCAGGTAGGTTTTTCATTTTATTAAGTTCCTTCTCAAAATTTGCTAAAGATTATTGCTACTTATATGTAAAACCATTTTCAATCTAATCTCAGGTTTCATATGTCCGGAAAATTCTGGTAATAAAAATTTAAGTGCGAATCATTTTTTTTTTTTTTTATTACTAAATAATTTGTTGCACGACATGCTATTATACATTAGCACAACCTATGTACTGCTGCCCCGGTTATTATTGTAATGAAGATGCAACGGAAATAAATATATGCCCTAAAGGTGTGCGTACTAATTAATTTTTCATTACTTGTATTATTAGATACTTGTAAGAGCAAATTATTTTTCAAATCCGACTAATAAACTTTCAATTTCAGGATCATTTTGCACCATTGGATCTGTTGTTCCGGTACCATGTCACAATTTAGCTTATTGTCCAGAAGGTGAATATTTTAAAATATTTTTGCTCACTATTTAATCTCAAGTTGCACTAATCAAAAATTTGCTTCACCATATTCTTCAAGGCTCAAAAAGGGCAAATAGATATTATGTTCTTGGTCTATTCGTTTTTGCAGCCATCATAATTGCTATATTATTCGCGGTTAACAAAAAGGCAAATCAGTTGAAAACTTCCAAGTACAAGAATTTGTTAAATGAACAAAAAATGAGTCATGAAAAGTCATTAGATCCTGTAAATAAAACCTTTGATATCGAATTTGAAAATCTTGGTCTAGTTTTACCTAATGGCATTTCAATCATGAAAGTAAGAGAATCACGATATTTAAATCATATGATTTGATTGGAAAAATAATAAATTTTGCTTTCATTTTAACCTCTTTTTTAGGGAGTGACTGGGAAGGTAAAGCAAAAAGTTCGTTTTAATGCGGCCTAGGTTGTAGCGTTAAATAATTCATCTTTCAATTAAAGCTTTCGCACGGCAGAACATGTGCGATCATGGGTCCTTCGGGTGCCGGAAAAACTACATTTGTTTCTCTCTTGACCGGCAAAGCGAAAAAGACAAGTGGTGTTATAAAAAGTATGTTTTAAGTGATATTGAATAATAATTGATAAAATCACACTTTATTAAAATTTAATATATATAGTAAATGGTGTGAAAGAAAACTTGAGTAAATATCGTAAACTTATAGGATTCGTGCCTCAAGAAGGTTCGTCAACTTTATTCTTGTTATATCACGTGATTTCAATCATGGAATTAACGCAAATTTTTTTTTTTTTTTTGAAAAGATGTAATGCTTCGAGAACTGACTGTACGAGAAATTCTGGTGGTAAGTTTTACCTTATTTACCTTGCCATTTTACGTGAAAAGTTTATAAGTTTTATGAAAATTTTAGCATTCCGCAATGATGCGTTTACCAACTGACATGGTTCGTGTTACAAAAAAACAAAAAGTGATTGAAACTATAAGATTCTTGGAATTAAGTCACGTTATGGATACGATTATCGGCAACGAAGGTTTTTATAATTATGAATGTTCGGATCGTATGCTCTTTAAAATCCAAGTTTTTTTTAACATCTTTTATAATCATAGAGCAAAGAGGCATCTCTGGTGGACAACGTAAACGTGTAAATATCGGAATGGAACTTGTGGCCGAGCCTTCAATCCTTTTCTTGGTATATTAATGATTAAGAGTGAATTGATCAAAGATTATATATAAAAAGTGGCAATTTTCGTAATCTTTTTTTTGCCTGTTGTTGTAGGATGAACCCACCTCCGGTCTTGATTCTGCAACTTCACTAGAAGTTTGTAAACTTTTAAAAAATATTGCACACCAACAAAAACTTTTGGTCGCAGCAGTTGTAAGTGTCATTTGAAATGATGATGCCAATTAATTTTTAATTTAAATAAGAAATTGAAACGTTCATCTTATTAAATCAACATGAAGATACATAGTCCAAGTCCGCAAGCATTCAATACATTTGATGATTTCTTGCTCCTTGGTAAAGGCGGAAGGATTGTTTACTTTGGTCCACGAGAAAATGCTTTAGATTATTTCCAAAATCTCGGTTTTGACTGTCCACGCGATGAAAGGTATATTCAATTTAGTGGATAAATTGACATTTTGATAATTATATATTAACTTTTCATTTGATCGATGATGTTAGTCCGGCTGATTTTATGATGGAGGTTGCGTCTTGCAAAGTTAAGCCATCCAAAAGAGAGACTTCAATATTGGTTGATGAGCTATTTGATGCATGGGAAGAATATAGGAGGGGAGGAAAGCCCACACTCCTTGATTCTGATAAAAAACGTCCTGCTGATACGTATATATATATGGGAAAAGAAACTTCGATTACATTTGGGCAAAAGATCAAATTAGCCTTCTTATCATTTCACATTCCATTTATTCATCTTATTCAAGATGTTTATTACTATATCACAGACTTATTATTTGAATTAATTGACTTTCTTCGGAGATTTTTCTTTTTTTGTATGAAAGATCCAATTCGAGAAACTCCAAATGTTTTTGTATCATTTGTTTTGTTGTTTAAACGAGCTTGTTTACAAATTTATAGAAATAGAACCCAATTTTTATTGGACCAGTTATTGCATATAGGATGCGGTGCTTTTATTTCTCTTGCTGCCAGTAATTTTACGTATATTGGAAAGGCACCTATAGAACTTTGTGCTATAACTCCTGCCGTAATTGCTCCAGCTTGTTTATTGGCAAAAGATACTCTGCAGGTTTGTTTTTTATAAAATTTATTTTATTGAGTAAAGTTTAGCTGAATAACTGACTTTTTCATGTCACATTATAACTCCCGTAGAGTGCTGGAGTTTTCTTGGCTCTTGGTGTGACATTCGCAGGAATTTCAGGTAGGCAATCGCATAAAAAAATCTTTTTATAAATTATTTTTTTTGAACAATCCGTGAATTTTTTTTTTTTTTTATCCTAGCCGGAGGTTCAACATTTGGTTACGAAAAGGTGGTATATTGGCGTGATACCGCGTCAGGAATGCGAACGATTCCGTACTTTTTGTCGAAATTCATTGCAGACATACCTAGGATAGTTTTGGCAGCATTTATGTTCTCAATCGCATTTGTTTTATTCTACCCCTTTTTATCTAAATTCACGGAATTATATTCTATCGTCTTATTATCCTATTGGACTGCGTGGTCAATGGGTATGTAAACAATTTTAATTGATTTTATCTAAACGCGATATTTATCAAGTCTCCCCCTTTAGGTTATTTCCTATCAGCATTAGTTACCAAAGGTAAAGAATGAGTTTTTCATAATGGAAATGAAACCGGTTCTATTTTCTTAACATTAACAAATCTGGCGTGCGTATTTTTAGAAAAACTCGGATTGATAGGAACCGGATTTGCTTTAGCTTGGGGATTGGTTTTTTCTGGAGCAAACCCAAAATTAGACGAGGTCAAAAGCGGGGAATCATACGAGTATATTCGATGGCTCTGGAGCATTTCTACTCCAAGATGGGCAGTTGAAGCTCTTTACCTTAAAGAACTTTATCCAAGATGGTACCAAGATTTATTCTCATAACCCTGATTAGATTTTTTGGTGAGAAATATTGACCTAACAAGATCCTCTTTTTTTAGGTGGCATGAAATTCATACGTCACCATTAAGTTATACCTATAGCTTTTCGGAATATCCAATCTGTTTGAGAAATATCGCAATAATTTCTGTGTCATGGGCCGTCGCCGCCTTCTTCGCCATGAAATTAACTAATCGTGATAAGCAGAAATAAAAAAAAAAAATAGAGAATTATTTTTCATTCATTTCATACATTTATTTATTTGATTTATTTGTTCAAACAAATAAAAGAATTTTCGAAAATTCTTTTTCGTTCGGTAATTACCGTTAAATGTCACAAGAGATTATAAGATCAAGATCTGATTACAATTGAACGTGGGAAAAAACCTTAGAAACCAATTAACTCAATTAACTCATCTCTTGACAATTCTCGAGAATTGAATTGGACGATGATGATGCATTTTTTGAGAATTTGATGCGGTCCATGCGTATGTTGCGTATCTGATCTGATAAACGGTAAATAATTTGAAAAAAAAAAAAAAAATTTTTTTTGACCAATCATTTTACTGGTAATTGTAACATTTAAAGAAACAAGAAAAACAAGAATGATTAAAATCTAAATCTTTTCAGAAATAAATATGCAAATCTTACATTGATAATTTGAACGGAAAATAGAGATTAAGATTTCCTTTTAAACAAAAAAAAAAAAAAAAAAAAAAATAATGTAAAATAAATCAAAAAAAAATAATACCCATTTTTCGAATCTTAATCTAGGAAATATGCATATTAATCAAACAACTTTTTTTTTTTTTGATGAATATTCAATGAATATTCATAAAGAAGGAGTTTATTATCCTTTGGCGGCGGCGGAAAAACCAGAAACGTTAATCAAGGTTTCAAAAAATTAAATAAAATAAAAAATAAAAGTTATTTTCTTTAATATAAATATGAACGAAATCCTTCTTTTTAAAAAAAATAAAAAAAATAAAATAAAATAAAATAAAACAAACAAAAAAAAAAAATGGCTTCCGAAATAAATAAAATGAGTCGAGATCAGCCAACGTACCTTATTCCAAAACGATTTATAGTTGTAGGGTTATGCGCAGTGGCTTTTGCAATCTGCTATGCAGGTATTATAAAATGAACTTTTTTCTTGAACATGGAACGAACATATCATTATTATTTTTAAATTTAATTTTTATGGTTGGTTAATCAATAGATCGATCGAACATCGCAGTTGCGATAGTTTATATGGCAATGGATTTTGGATGGTCATCAACGACACAAGGATTAGTGTTATCAGCATTTTTCGTAGGATACTTAACTACCCAAATATTAGGAGGAGCGCTAGCCGATAAATTTGGAGGAAAGCCGGTTCTAGCAATAGGTCACTAACATAAAAAAAAAAATTGTTAATTATTCACGACGTCCATCCCTGCTGTTTCACTAATCCCACCCTTGTTTATATATATGAATTAGCCGCAGCAACTCGGGTTCTTTTCACATTATTAACACCGAAAGCATCCGAATTTGGATTGAATCCTTTAATAATATGTAGGATATGCGTTGGTATAGGAGAAGGGGCGTTATTTCCGGGAGTGCAATCCTTAATAGCAAAGTGGATCCCGGCACAAGAAAGGTCAAGAGCCGTCGCCGTCGTAACAGGATCAAGTCTTATCGGAGCCGTCGTTGGACTGCCGTTAGCCACATGGCTGGGCAGCGGAGTTTATGGATGGGAGTGCATCTTTTACTTGTTTGGAACGATCGGTGTGTTCTGGAGCTTATTATGGCAAATTTATGGATCAAGTTTACCGGATCAATATGAAGGGATCAGTCAAGAAGAAATAAAGTTAATAGAAGGAATCGGCAAGTTTGAGGACGAAGAAAATCATGTAGCGAATGCCGAAGATGGTGTATCACAACAGGAAGGCGTTAGGGATCAACACAGTAACGCAGAGGATGAATCAACTCCTCTATTGGTTGATAATAAGAAGAATGATTCTAAATTAACAAATGATATACCATGGATGTTGATACTTTCAAAGAAAGAAGTCTGGGCATTATTGATAACGTATTTTTGTAATTCGTGGGGATATTTCATCATGTTGACATGGTTGCCAACGTATTATATAGATCACTTTGGCATTGACATCAAGAAATTGGGATACTTTGCTGTCATACCTTATGCTGTGCAGGGTGTCATGGGTTTTGTTGTCGGCACGATTGGTGATCACATGATTCATAAAGTTAAATTTCGAGTCATAACCATTAGGAGGATCGCTCAATCAATTGGAAGTTTTGGAGTCGCTACTTTCCTTTTATTGGTAATTATATCTTTAAAATGAGTTAAAATGGATTTCCTTTTTTTAACCCAACAATCAAATTATTCTTAGGCTGCGTATTGCGCGTCATCTCCATTTGAGGGGATAATCTTAATTACGATCGGCATGGGACTAAACACGTTCACGTTAGCGGGAGTATCCGTAAATCAGGTGATTCTTTCTACATTCCAAAAAAAAAAAAAAAAGAAAAAGAAAAAATTTTTTTTCTTACTTTTTTTCCTTTTTTTCAGTTTGATATTGCCCCTAAATATGCAGGTATCATCTACGGTCTTGGCAATACTTTAGGTGTGATCCCTGGTATTTTTGGCGTGGCATTAACTGGTTGGATTCTGGACGTAACAGGAAGAAATTGGAATATTATTTGGGATATTGCGGCTTCTTTATATTTTAGTTCGGCATTAATCTTCTTGGCTTGGGCTGGTGGAGAGGTCATCATTGATTGATTAATTGAAGATTGTGAGGATCGTTCTTTAAAGAATTTTACTTTAGATAAATCCGGTCGTATTACGAATTATTAGAATCATAACAATATCGAATCATTTTGGTTGTATTACAAACTATTAGAATCATAACAAATCATTAGATAATTTTGGTCGTATTACAAATTATTAGAATCATAACAATATCGGTTGTATTACAAATTATTAGAATCATACCAAGATCGTTTCTTAAAGAATTTACGTTAGTTTCTTAAAGAATTTACATTAAGAGAGTATTACAAATTATTTAGAATCAAAACAATATGCAAAAGAAAGTAAAATCTTCCAAAAAAATTCTTATTCATATGTATTGCAAAATTGCAAAATGGCATGTACTAAGATGATTTTATACTCGCAAATGGTTTATATAATGATTTCCAATAGTTTTGCTTTATGTTTGTTGCTCTATTCATTAGAAAAGAAAACTTTATAAATATAAGAACTTTCCACCTTTAACCTTCTAACAAAAAAAAAAGATAAAAATAGAAAACAATAAAAAACAACTTTAATAAATATAAAAACTTTGCACCCGTTAAAAAAAAACAAATTACAAAATGAATACGCCATTAAATTCATTTATTTCAATTCTTTTATTGTTCTCTTTATTCACATTGTTCAATGAAGTAACAGCTGTACCTTTTGATACAGGTATCTTTCATTTTAAATTGATATTTTTTAATCATTTTATTTTCTTTTTAAAATTGATCTTTTCGACCCAATTTTCTTATTTATGCAGGGTTAGGGCCCGAAATTTTTTGTGATGGTAAGATTTCTTAGCTTTTTTATTTTTTTTTTTTTAAAAAAAAAAAAAAAAAAAAATCTTTTTAATAAAATCTTTTCCATCTTTCCCGTTCTCAGGATTTCAATTCATTTCTCCTGATTCTGTTCATCTTACTCAATTTAAGAATAATAACGAGTTTGAAGTAGTTTTGACAAAAGGAGACACGTTCATGAGTGAAGTAAAAGGCCTTGACTTGGTTACTTTTGGTACTGAAAAATTTGTTAAAAAATTATGGAGAGGTAATAAAGAATTCGGTGCTGATGGGAAGGTTTCGTTAAAAGTAAAAGTTGAAGTCCCTAAGCAATTTGAATCAAAATTACCTACTGAATTTATGTTTAGAAGTTGGGGCCCAGTTGAAAAAGCCACTTGTACTAGCACTAGTGCATATGTTACTATCTATAAATAGACTTCTTTAGAATATGACTACTCTTCTTAATTATTATTACTATAAAGGATAGACTTCGTTAGAATATGAACTACTATTCAATTATTAATAATTGTCATTATTTAATTATCAATTTTTTAACTGTGAAATTAAAGAAAATTAATTTATTTTTATATTCGGTCCTAATAAAATAACTTTTCCCAATGATTTCAAATATAATTTATTGCTTCATTTTTTTAATTAAAATTTTTCAGATGATGTCATAATTTCAATGTCTGTAATCCAAATTTTATCTGAAATTTCAGACATCCGAAGTTATATGTATAAGTATGGGTAGTGTTGGATTTGGACATATACGTATGATGTCAGATATGTCCAACAATTCTGGTCCGAACGACATTAGTGTTGTTGAAGTATTTACTACGCCACAAAAAAACTACTAGAAAATTTTTATATTTTTGAGGAAAGAATTTTTGATATCATTTGAGGAAATTTTTTTTTTTTTTTTTTTTGAATAATTTAGTTTTGGTTTTACAAATTTCTGTAAGAATTAAAATTTAAATAGAAGAAAAATATATATATATTTTTTTTTTAAAAAAAAAAAAGAAATGAATGAAATAAATAAAATTTTCCTTTTTTTTTTTTTTTTTTTTTTTTTTGCAAATTCTAATAAATCAAAAACTAGAAATGTACAATAAATATTTAAAAAACAGACGTAAAATTTTTAATTAAAAAGGCAATTACTAAAATACAAAGAAATGTTTCCTTCAACTATACAATCAATGTTAATAATTATTAAGAAATCCAAATAAATTAATAAATAACTTTCTTTATTCATTCCTTTATCGACTCCTTAATTGACCGATGGGTACTTCTTCATCACTAGCCATCTCACTTTTCTTTTCGTTGTAAGAACGTCCACCAATAGGGTAATTATCTTCGGAACCTTTATAGCTACTTCCTTTTTCGGAATTTAAATAGTCAGCTATGCCAAGTACTTCATCCAACACCGACTCATATTTATCATCCATACCATATTCAACCTTTTCCGATAATGATTTATCAGCAGATAACAGACGAGTGTGCGAAGAAGTTGATGCCGCACAAAACGAATCGGTTTTACTGGAGCTAATTCGACCTAAAGGAGTTGTATCGTCGTCCTCATCATTAATGACATTAAGTTCGGTAGGTTTCCAAGAATTTGATTGGCCTGATGGTGGTAACTTTGCCAACATGGCTAAGGGTAACCTATCACCCAATGGAACATCCGAGGAGGAAGTGGTTGATTCCGTATCTGCATGGGAAATCAAGTCAATTGGTTTATGCCTGCTACTGCTACTTCTATTTAAATTAGCAAGAGGTGTTGAATTTTTATTCCTCTTTCCCGCACCCCTGTCACTTTGATGTGTTTGGTTTGATGGTGTAGTCTTTGAGCGATGAACGCCCACAGAGGATCCCTTGTTTTTACTTATTGAATCATTATTTGAATGCTTTTCTTCACGATGGTCCCCACGATCTCGTTCACGATCGGTTTGTCTCGTTCTAGTGGATGAACCTCTATGTAAATCGGTCGTTTTCGATGCAGGAGGAGGAGAAGAACGTGAACGATGTCTTTTTGATGGACCACGATCAATTCTGCGACCTTCGCGATCTTCTTCACCACCCCTTCTGTGTGATGCGCTATTATGATTATTAGATAATTTTCTTTCTCTCCGTGAATCATGCTCACCGTTACGTGGTTTTGATCTCGATTTTTTATGATTAACTGAAGTTGAACTTGAACGTTTCGATGAATAAAAATTCTTGTTGTCATCACTTGTTTCATCTTCCGATTCATCATTATTTGAAATTGTTTTTGACATATCAGAGGTCGAATAATCAGATATTCTATGCGTTGAAAGGGTATTATTATCGCCACTTTTCCGAGTTTTATGGTAAATTGAAGATGACTTATCCCAACTACGACGTCCGCTATGAGCAACATGAGAAGGCATATCAATAACAACGGTTGATACGGGCATAGGTAAGGCGAATTTATCATCACCATTAATTTCATCCGATTTTGCATTATCATAAATATGAATCTCCTGATGATTTTTATCCTTCTTATCCCTCTTATCTTTTTTCATTTTAGTAGTAGAAGATTTCGTTAAGGAGGAAGATTGTTGATTAGGCAAATTCATAATCCGAACACCATTTGACCTTTCAGGAGAATGAGCAGTCACGCTACCAAATTTAATTAAAGTATTCTTTGGAGGTTCAATGGAAGGTGGTGGTGTATCACCTTCATCAGATCTTAATAATGAATTGGGAATGAATAAGGCACGATTTTGATCCTTATCATCGTAATGATTAGGACTGGGGGTAATTGTTGTATCTCTATACCTATCACCAGGTCTATTTCTCTTATAAACTAGATAACAAGCGGCCAACAATGATATGCCCAATACCACCCCACCAATCACAATGGCATACTTTGGCCATGTACCAAGGGGACCGAGCGAAATCTTGTCAGAATTTTCAGACTCTTTCTTTTCCGCTAAATCGGTACAAAACGCTACATTTTGACATTTGTCACCGAATATAAATACAGATGCTGGTGCTATGGTTGAATTTGGTAGTGGTATGGGTTGTATTGATAAATCGAATACAGCGAAAAAGGTTGCTCGATCTCTTGAATCACATTCATATTGCGTCAGTTCTTCCGTTCCCGCTCCCGTTCCCGATGGCTGCGCCTGTGTACAAACTACTTTACTAAATGGTGAAAATGGTGGTGCCGTTATGAGATATCCTTTTGGAAATGATATTGCTGTCACATATACGTTGTTGCCCTTTCTTGAATCTACGTGTGATGCCGTTACGTTTAGTTGATAAAGATTTGGGCCGGTTTGTAACGCCGATTTTGTGCTATAGCAACACTTTTCTAGAAGTAAAAAAAATAAATATATATGTGTATATATAGACATACAGTATGAGAGTTGAATTACGTCATCGACCTAAAAGGTGGCTTAGCAGGGTCGCGTAGTCTAACCTCACTTCTTATTCGCACATACTTCACGAGGTAAAAGAAAAAAAAACGGTACTTACGCTCAGCATTAACATTTACTAATCCATATATTATTATAATGCCAATTAACATCCATATTTGCCATACTATTGACTTGTTTGAATAAATTAAACTGTTTTTATAATATCGAACCATTGTTCAAATATACCTACCTAATTGAATTTAATTAAAATATGATGTATATTTTTAATTTCGTGTTTAGGTGAGGATTAAATAGGATTAAATACAATTATACAATTAATGATAAAATAAAATTACTATGGTCATAGAATCAAGGAGTTTACTATCACACTCTTTTTTTTATATATGTGTATGTATAAAAGGTAAGCTATTAAACAAGGGTATACATTTCTATCGCCTAATAAGAAATATTACAACCCAAAGAGAGAGTTTTGCTTTTTTTTTTTTTTTTTTTTTTTTTTTTTTTTATCTCTCTCTCTCTCTCTCTCTCTAATATAAAACAAAAAGAGTAAACGTTAAATCAAATTTATCTTTTCACATAAACAGAAAGAAAAACCCCCAACTCTCTATAGTTTCTTTATAAAGTCATAAGAAGCCAAAAAGCCGAAAAGCTCAACAATATAAAAAAAAAAAAAAAGAGGAGGTTGTTAGTAAATTTAAATTACAAGGATCATTCGGAAATGGTGTGTAACATTATTAACCTGATCTAATACAAATTGATTATTTATAGTAATAAAGTTTTACACTTCGTGAGAAACCCTTATAAAATGGTCTTTACAATGATTTTTTGTTTGTTTTGGTTACATATAATGCGCGTACAAAGTAAAATATCGTAATTAGCATTGGTATTGGTCTCGTACGTTGTCACATCATGAATTACCCAAATATTTAAATCGGGTGAGGATAAGATATTGGATAGACGATTTGAGCACATATTAAGTCGCGTGACACGGCAGATGATATTTATAGAAATAACCGGCAAAATAGATTCCGATCTCTATAAAAAGAAACGTTTTAAATGCTAACCATACTAATAATTATTTTTTACAATTCTGAGCACTAGGTCGTTCTGAGATGTCAAAATAACTTTAACTAATAATCAAATCTGCACGAATTATACCCCGTGCATAAATATGTCTAGCAGATCTCTGCAATTTGATGTTCTAGTATTAAAGTTTCATCTTTTTAAATTTATTGTCCAGAGCGAAGCGTAGGACATTATACTTTTAGGAAATAGTGTGAAAATTTTATAATCACGTGAGTATTTCCGTTTGTCACGCCGCGTGTACGATAAAATCAGTAAAACAAAAATAATTTATTTATTTTAAATAAAAAATTTCGCTCCGGGCTTAAAATGGTTTCCATTTCCTAGTTATATTGTAATACGAATCAAGAAAGAATTCAATCATCTTAAATAAAAATTAAAGAATTATATCCAACCTCTCTAACGAAATCGCTGTTTTTATTATCCCCTAGCTTTGATCCTATCTAGTTAAATGTATACCTTTAGAATATAAGCTATGATTTTGTGTACAGTACAGAATCTCAAAAAGGTTTAGGTTCTTTACTAAAAATTCTGTATCATTCTACATTCCTCGATGCTAGAATTTGATATACCTAGTAAAATGCAATGCCAATGTTATTAAAAGATTTAAGCAAATCATGCAGTTTTTCTTGCATGCGCGGCACCGCAGAGCCTTTGACATCTTTTCTCCAATATAATTTTGTGAAATCCGTTGATTCAAGATCTTACAACTAATTTGATTTGAAAAAAAAACTTCTTTTTCATCGGAATCATTCATCTTTATATAAATTCCATCAGGTCACATCTGATTCGAAGGTTCGAAGATATATTATCAATTTCCCCTTTAATCATGTCTTTCAAAACATCTACTTCATTTCTAAATTTTCTTTTGTACATTAACTCAATTTTTTCAGTATCTGGCAATATTAAAAACGGGCAGAAGTAGCCCATAAAGTTAGGGGTATTTTA